AAATGTTTGTTTTTCTTCTCCCCCCCCTTTAAAAAAAAAAAAAAAAAAAACCAACAAAAAACCCACTGCTGCCAGCTAAAATTCAAGCATCTGTGGTAACTCCAGTAACCCACAGCGATCAGAACATCTACTGGGCAGAAGCAGAAGTGTTGCCTGCAACCCCTTCCCCACAAATATTTTTGTGTTTAGTTTTTTTCCCCCCTCTGGTGGCAAGAAGCAACAGGGAAGCTTAATGCGATGTAAATCAGAGCTCTCACAATCCCACCCTCCTCATACCTGGGTGCATTTTCTGTCCCTCCTTCGTGCTAGAACTAGTACTGATGTGCCTAGGCAGCAAGCTAGCACAGGAGAGAGCCCAGCAAGAGCCGCTCAATTTTTCTTGCTGCATTAGGATGAATTTACATACTACAGATGAGTCAAACCAACATTTTATTGCCCTGGGAGGAAGAAGAGGAGAGAACTCATCTGCTCTTTTCCCTTCTTCATGGTCTTACCCTCCTCCCCATACCACCCTTTCCTAATTGAACTTTAACCCTGCAAAAGAAAACATGACTTTTGACTGAGTTGAGTGGTGAACGTGGTCAGTGCAGATGAGCACAAGGTAAGGAAAGAAAGCACAAAGCCCAGAGGGAGAGCATGGCCTCCCCCTCATGGCAATGGCAAGCTAAATAGATAGGCTTTAACCATAATACACAAATTGGCATTTAGCTTTCCAGATCTGCTGGAAGTGGAGACAGCTTCAGGCACAACACAGCTCCTGCCTAAGAAGGGTTCATCAAAAGAGAAATCGTACAACTCAAGAACCTGTGAGCCACAAAACATCGGCTGGATTGAGAGAGTTCCTTTAAGTCAGGGAAACGAATGATATCCCAAGGCAAACTACTTCAAAGGCTGCTTTACCCCCTTGGCTCAGGAAAGATTAAAAAGGAGGCATGCCTTCCCAAAAGCATACAGGCACTAAAAAAGGAGGAGATCAGGAAATGGAGGTTGTAAATGCAGATACAGGTCCCAGCCAGAGGCACTGAACCCTGAGCATGCTTGGAAACCCCTAAGGAGCATCACTGCCTAGACCCTGTACAGACTGGAAGGACCAAGACCACCGAAAGCCAAAACACAGCGCTCTAGAGAAGTCCAGACACAGAGGTGCCATTAGATTTGTGACAACTATGGCTGCGGTGTATTACAGGATGCATCAAAATGGCACACTTCCTTGTATTTGATAACAAGTACGTATGGGGGGGAGGGTCTGAACAGGTTCTTGTAGTGCAGGAGACATTTAAGTAATGGTCAGCTGAAGCCTCTAGTTTGCACTCCAACACACAGAGGCACAAGAAAGAGAAGGTCCTACCTACTGTGCAGCAATAGCTCCCAAGTGTTTTATATGTGATGAATTTGATATTAGGAGACAGACTTCAAAAGGCTTGTAGACAAGCAAGAAAAACCAAGATACTGCATTAAAATGCAGTTATATAGGCACGAATGGCTGAATCATCCAACTGTTATAAAGGGCAAGAAGTATTAAAAATAGAGGTGTAAAAGCTGTATATTAAGTTAATATAAGAATATATGTATAAGAAGTTAGAGGAACTGCCAGCAGGCTACTAGTACATAGCTTCAGGTTTAAATGCATTAATTACTAGAACTCAAAGACCACAACCTCTTCAACCCAGCATATGACAAAAGGGAAGAAAGAGATTACTAGATGTGAGTTTAAGCTGATTAACTCGCTTATACACTCTTTGGCCCTGTGCTTGCTTAACTGGTTTGCTTTTAATTATAAGAGCCACCATGCAATAATCCAAAGCTCTAAATCAGAGATTATTTAAGACTGGCTTTAAAAATCTACAGAACGAGTTAATCTGGTTCAGACAATGCACCTATTCATCTCTTCATGCTAACACTGTAAGAGATGACACTCTTCTGCCGATGCCTTTCGCTTTCCATCACACAGAGTGTTTTTCAGCAGGTCACTGTTACATTTCATTGTTTTCTTTCAGCTCGGAGATACTACGCTATAGTCGTTGAGCACCCAAAAGGACGATTCAAGTACATACAGAAATCTAAATCTTATCTTGTGAAACAGTCCCAGCATCTGTATTGTGTTTTCTTATCAATATTATTTCCTTGTTTTCTGTATGGAAAAAACTTACACAACACCAACAAATTCAACACACTCAGAACAAACAATAGCAGTACAAGGCCAATCCTCCTCTAGCTTAGACCAGTGCCAACTTAGAACAACCACACAATTTGATTATTGTGGTTTTGTACTAGATATAATTCAAAACAGAATATAAATCACCACTTCGAGTGATTCTAGTCAAAAGGGGGTAAAAAGATACCAAAATAATGCTACTACAACAGTCCCCACTGCAATTAGACTTCCTTTTAAGGCCATTTTCTTTAGTTACACAACAAAAAGTACATTTAAACAAACTCTGTCACGTTTAGCGGATTATAACCACTTTCGAACATCCAACAGACAGGTCTTCATAGATTGGGAACAAGATCATTTTGGTAATAATACATTTTGTTGTCAAGGACCTGGTGAATCTGACCATCCTGCACTGAAAACCCTTAAAAGCAATCCAGAAAGTCCACAGTGTTTCTGGCTTTGATACGAGAAATACGCAGTCCCAGAGCAAAGCCAGTGACAGCCGTGACCCAGCAATTCCAGCTTGGTGAGACATTTTTACGAGGACGTACTATGGTGAATCCTACAGATTTCATTTTCCTGCCTGGGCCAAAGTGTAATCCTGTACCGAAACCATATATCAAATCTCTAAGCATTACATGTAAGCACATACACGTGGGCATTTTATTCACAGAATTGTTTGTGCAGCCACACAAAACGAGACCTGGGGAACAATCTTGTCAAACACACAAGAATGCCCACAGGCTTTTGCGGCTTGTTTTTTCTGTAGCGGATCTGTGAAGTCATTTGATATGACCACAGCCACACACGCAGCTAAAGAGCAGGGAATGGGGGGAAAGCCTCCCACAGAGCCAGAAACCTCTTAAATTAGAATAGCAATTTAAAGCCATGACAGAGGAGGCCATAGTCTCCCATATATTAAATTTGTGCATCAAGAAACAGCCCTGAGTTTAAGTCAAACACTCCAGGGCAAGGTAACAAGGGCTTGTTGCACAACTTCTTCAAAGTCCTAAAAAAAAGCTAAACTTCCCTCTGAGATATTAACACTATTTGTGATTAAGAATACATCACTGCTCAACAATTCATGCAATTGCAGCATGGTGACCATGAGGTGTAGCCAGGTCAGCGCCTCTTAGCCCTGAAAGAGCATCCTCTATTTTCACAAGGCTATCACGCACCAACAGCTGAGTAACTGAATAGCAAAGACTTCAGGTCACACGAGTTAAGAGAAAGATATAATATCCAGTAGTAATTCTGGGTTCAATTAGACCAAAAAGGTCCAACTTTCAGAAGGTGCTTAAAAACAAGACTATCTGAGATAGATGTAAATGCATTCCAGAACTAGGAAGATGCTTTTAAAGCACTGGTTTTACTCTTTCTGTGCCAAGAACCTGGCTGTGAAAGCCTACCCTAAGGCACAGAGCAAGAACAAGCTAGGATTTCAAGAAGCTTTGATACGACTGCAAGTTTACCTCATGATATTATGTTATTTGTATATAGCCAGGCACAATGGGGCTCCTGGCACTACTATTTTTATATAAGAGGCTAATCTCTCCAACAATTCTGGCAAGTGTAATATGTGCTGAGGCCCTTCCTGGTTCATGGGGAGAAAGGGCACCTGTTTGATTTTTACCAACTTCTAAAAGGCCATATGCAAAACTGCATTTTAAATCTTTGTTTTCCATCACTTATCAGTCACATGAATCATTGTGACACTCATGAAAAATATCTCTGGGAAGTTTTGCAATGACACCAACATTGCAGCAATTTGCTTGCTACGAGACTGGGCACTCATAACAACTGCAGAGCATCACGCGCTACATTCACTAGGTGGTAGTATATCAGAAAAGAGTCACTCCACACCTCAAATTACTTACCAGAGATGAAAAGCAGCATCTACCTGCATATTGCAGTGGGTTACCCGATTAGCTGGATGGCTTTCAAGAATAACATTTTAAGTCAGACCTCCTAGAATCTCAAAATAGCAAAGCACAGCATTACAACTTAAAGACTTAGATTGTAGCATGGTCACTGAAATCTGTTTCTTCAGACAGAAGGCAAAGCAGAATCTTAAAAGCAATATAACTGAGGGTTTCAAAATTGAAATAAGTCATTCCAGAGCCCTTTCATAGCCTACTAT